CTATCAATGGTATCCATAGACATACCCTCTAACAGCTCGTATATATTGAGTTCGTGGCCGTCGGCCCCACGTTTGGCCTCCAGTTTGCTTATCATATGATCGATGCATACGTTTATTACGGGAACAACGGATTTGAGTTGCGATGAACTGAACCACGGGCTCAGTATTGTCCTCATTTTCTTCCACCGAAACGATTCAACACGAGTTACCTTATTGTAAATAATTCAAAAGGTACCCCAACCCACCAGTCTTCATATACACCCCCGATATGAACCATAGATTTGCGTTTTAAGATATCTTGGTATTTTGTAATATTATGGTTTATATTTTGAGACTCGGGTTTGTGTTATAGTTAATACACGGCTCACAAATAGTTTTATTTTTGGTGTTTTTATACAATCAATAATTTAGTTATCGAATGGTGTGCTTCTCCAAATCCTAACATAAAACTTGTGTTTTAATTATTAGTTTTTTAACACAAGTCTCCAAATTTTTACATATTGCAGCATTTAAAACAATTATATCTTTTTTTAATTATTTGTTTAGATTTCAAACTATAATAGAAGTAAAAAAAACTTAAAATCAATTTTGCAAATCATAGAAAAAAAAGTTAAGATATGATTTCAATTCAGAAAAGTGTTTAATGGCTTTGCGATAAGTGTCTCGTTATTTTCCATCTCTGCGCTCAATAATAAAAAGCATTAAAATTCAATAAAAGTTTGCAAACTTTATGAGTAATAACTATTTATTACAGTAACTTCTCATATAAAAGAATAAATTATATCATATCGATAAAAATACAATTCAAAATTCAACGTTCATTAATACTATTTGACTTTTTAGCAAATAATACACTAGTGTTTGAGATCTTGAGGACAATCGGGTTGTCTGTAGGGATGGCTGCGTCTGAAGGCATCCAACGTTAGGAGATATACGTAAATGTTGTGTATTTTGGGGAACAGTTGGTTGACATCCAGACCGAGATTAATGGCGTTAAACACTTGTGGTGCGAGACATACGTCGGCCACCGATACAGTGTCGCCGACACAACACCGGCCACTCGTCTCAGCCAACAGTTTCTCCAATGACCGAAATCGGCTACTAATCCAGTATTTGGCCCATAATTTCTCTTCAACTTCTGGGTCCTCTGATTTGTTAGATATAAGATATAGTCATTTACAAGTCTCCCACAGATACTTACTCTTGGGATCAATTGCGGTCATTTTGCCCACTTTTTCCAGCACCGAGTCGTTCTGAAGGGGTTGAATGCCGGCCACAACCGCCTGAGCGATGGCCCGGGCTCTGGCTCTTAAGAATATGTCTGATGGCAGCAGCGATGGTACACCAGAATCGCCATATTTGTCCTCCAAATAGTCAATAATAGCGATGGACTCGACCACCACTCGGTCCCCATCGATGACGAGTGCGGGCACCTGATGGCAGGGGTTCAGGCGCTCAAACTCCGGGCTAAATTGCTCAGATGTGTGCAAATTCACGGCTTTGTATTCATATTCAATGCCTTTTATGTCCAGTGCTTTATGTTTGGCAAAAATTAATAGTAATTTATATCAATATGTGTTAAGTCAGCAAAAAGTTATTTTTGCAATAATAAGTATTTTTATGTAATACAATATTTTATGCAATACTGAAAGTCATATGCGATTAATATTCATATGATTTGAGTATTATTTATGAAAATAAATCATATTTCACACAAAATTTTAGCAAATAATTTACAGTCATTTATCACTACTTGACTTCAAGTATGTTTCAAATGACATATTATTGTCATTCATATCAAACACTTGGACTGAATGATAAAGTAGTGGAGAGAAAAGTAGTGGACTTAACAATACATATAATAAATCATTTGATGGATATATTCATTGTGCGGAAATGTATTTCGTATATTCAATATATTAATAAATTATGGGCTTAGAAGTGGACAATCAGTCAATACACGCAATACATACCGATCCTCACTCTCCAGGAACAGGAACTCAGATAACTGTTGTACAAAATTGGCTGCAAATAAGAAAATATATATTTATATTTTAAAATTATAATTAAAATAATTATTTAATATTTTAATATAAAAACAAATTACTTTTGTAGTCATTGCGGTAATACTCTGGCAATAAATGTTGAATTTATTTTAGACAAAAACAATGATATCACAGACAGATGTTGACTGCAAAATAGTAGTCAACGCATGCTTTTTATGCCATAAACTGATTATAGACTAAAAACCTATGGATTCTGTTATATTCTGTGATAACAAACCGCCAAAAGCCTTGAACAATGTCTGATATTGAAGGCCAATGGCAGGTATAACGTGGTAAATGCAGACTATTTTTATGCTGTGGTAAATCCCTTGATGGTTTATTTTAACTTGTTATAGATAATTTAATTAATTTTATAATATACTGTAATATTACGACTACAGTTTACACAGTAATTAAATTAATAATATAATAACGTATGTAATTAATATATAATAATAAATTAGCAGTAGATTTTTTGCCACTTTTTGAAACTAAAATTTTATTTATAAAATAAATAGATAATGAATAACATTAATGTTGATTTATTAAAATTGTTATAAATAATATAATTCTGCTGCTATAGGAGCCAAATCCGGGGACAGGCATGCAGTGATCGTTTGTCTATTACGGTGAGAAAAACAGGGGTAACCAAAGGGGTATTTAAACCTCAATAATATTACACTGATTTAATCATTACAAATCGGATAATGAAGTAATTAAACAAAGTGTTATAACATAAATATATTTGAATTATATTTTACCTATTAATAAAATATTTTTAAAAAATCTGACTTGTATTTCATTTAATTTGTAAATCTTAATATATTAACTATTTATTTCCAACATAATTTTAAGTTGCGTTTAAGAACGAATTTTTTTAGTTGCTTATAAATTATAAAAATATTAATTTTTTGCTGAAAGAATCATTATTAATAACATTTGATATATCAATGAAAAAATATTTTTAAAATATTGTAAAACACTTAAATGATTTATATTTTATATGAAAGTAGTTTCACAATAAGTATGTTTAGTAGCCATGGCTTTGCATTTGACACAAGTGTCTTGTTTATCATCTCATCACTCAAAATGAATACAAACAACAAATAGTGATTTGTATTGATATTGATTTGAAACTAAACACACATTGCAAACAATCATATTTTAGTACGGGGTAGGCCTGGGAGTTTGTGAAACTGTGCATGGTCTGTTATTATTTCTGTTATAATTATTTACTTAAATTCTGGCATTACAACAAATAGAAATTATGTTAACCTAAATTAATGTTTATTAACTAATAGTTTACTTACTGGGTTAAATTTAGCTGGTGTCGCCCCACGATTATGAAATCGTGGTCTGTTTTGGTAGAATTTAAATTAATTATGAGTTATTTTTATCATAGTTTGAATAATTTTAATTATATTCTATCGTGGCAATAAAAATCATATTGATTGTCTAATCTTTTATTAATTGACAATGTTTTGACCCTTTATAATCGACATATATTTTATTTATATTCTTGCTAAGTTTCTGTAATAGTCATGTGTGTCAACCCATCCCCAGCCCTTCAAACCTTTCCCCAACCCATCAACTGATATATCCGGCGATAAGATGTCAAACAAATATAACGATCATAAGATTGTACGACAACTCTATAACCAATTATTAATTTATTATAATTAGCGTTAAGTATTGCACACATTATTAACTATAAACAATTTGTTAATTATAAATTAAAAAATGTTTACTATTATTATAATTAGCGTTAAGTATTGCACACATTATTAACTATAAACAATTTGTTAATTATAAATTAAAAAATGTTTACTATTATTATAATTGGGGTGATTTGCGTGGCGTTAGCCCTGTTTTACTACCAACGGGTGCGGCGGATGACAATACTGGAAAGGCATGGCATCCCTGGCCCTAAACCCCATATCTTATTCGGAAATATGACTGATTATAATACTCTGGGATATAATGAGTGCTACGATAAGTGGAAAGCGAAATACGGACGCATTTTTGGCTATTATTTGGGCGCAAAACCATTTATTGTGATTACAGATCCGGAACTGCTTAAACTGATCCAGATTAAAGAGTTTCACCGTTTTTCACACCGCCCGTACATTATTCCCGGCGGTATTTATCGTAACTGGAAATATCATCAAATGGTATATTAAAAATTGAAATGCACAGTGATATATAGAATATGTTCATAACTAACCAAATATTTAGCAAGATAAATTAAAATTAAATATTATACACAGCACAATCATTTATAAATACATTATAAAGTACAATACTTAAATTTTACAATA